TCTTGGTGCTGCTCCTCAGGGGCCCGCTGGCACTGGAAAAACGGAGTCTGTAAAAGACCTGGGTAAGGCACTTGCAAGACAAGTGGTTGTGTTTAATTGTTCCGATGGCATCAATTATAAAACCATGTCTCGAATGTTTGCTGGGTTGGCTCAGGCAGGTGCATGGGCGTGCTTTGATGAATTCAACCGTATCGAATTAGAAGTGCTTTCTGTTGTGGCACAGCAGATGCTTGATATCACTACCGCCCTTGCACAAAATCTGGAGCGCATGGACTTCGATGGGCACTCAATTAAACTGAGTAGAAATTTTGGTGTTTTTATCACTATGAATCCTGGTTACGCCGGTCGTACTGAATTACCAGACAACCTAAAGGCATTGTTCCGTCCGATATGTATGATGATTCCTGACTATGCCCTTATTGCGGAAATCATGTTTTACTCGGAAGGTTTTGCCGATGCAAGAACATTGGCTCGAAAGATGGTACAACTCTACAAGTTGAGTTCTGAGCAATTATCAAAGCAGGACCACTACGATTTTGGTATGCGTGCGGTAAAGTCAATTCTTGTCTTGGCCGGCGGTCTAAAGCGACAGTATCCTAACGAAAGTGAAAATATGTTGTTGATTCGGGCCATGCGTGACGCCAATGTACCGAAGTTCCTTCGTGAAGATACTGTTCTTTTCATGGCACTTATCAAAGATCTTTTTCCTACTATCGCGATTGAAGAATCGCAAAACGATTTGCTTCTTCGTTATGTGAAGGAGCAAATGGAAAAAGAGGGTCTACAGGTTATAGATGGTTTGGTAACAAAGGCGGTGCAGCTTTACGATACACTTGTAGTCCGTCACGGTGTGATGCTTGTTGGTCAAACATACAGCGGAAAAACGACTGTTTTGCGCATTGTTCAAGGTGCTTTGACCCAGTTGAAGCTGGATGGTCACGATCCAGAAGGTGCTACACCTCTATTTAACCGTGTACATATTCATTTACTTAATCCCAAATCCGTCACAATGGGTGAGTTGTATGGGCAGGTCAATGAAATTACACGTGAGTGGACGGATGGTATCATTAGTAATATCGCACGAGGTGTTACGCGTGATGCGCAGCACTCCGCCGATCGTCAATGGATCGTTTTTGATGGTCCTGTGGATGCAATCTGGATTGAAAACATGAACACTGTCCTTGATGATAACAAACTACTTTGTTTGTTTAATGGTGAGCGTATTAAACTCCCACCGACGGCGACATTTATGTTTGAAGTTCAAGATTTGGCAGTTGCCTCTCCCGCCACTGTCTCTCGTTGTGGTATGGTTTTTTTGGAACCGTATTACATGGATGGTGGGCGTGGTTGGATTCCAATTGCGAAAACCTTGATAGCACAAAAGGCTGCATTGTTTCCAAAGTTTCGCGCAGAACGCATGACAGAGCTGCTCAATCAATTTCTTCCCATGTCGCTTGATTTTATACGGAAGGAATGCCGTGAGTGGATTGTATCTGTGGATGCCCAGTTGGCTGTTTCATGCATAGAATTACTCACCTCTTTTATACGAACGCTGGATGATGAGAGTCTATTACCAAATGTTTTGCGATCAAAAGACGCCCAAATGAAACCGGATGAAGACGATGATTTATTACCGAAACAAGTGGAAAAAAAAGTGTCCCATGCTGCACCTCCCGTAGGTGAACCGGATGAATTTCGCCCTCCTACCATTACAGATGAGACTGTACCGACCAATGAAGATGCATTGTTTGATATGTATTTTTTAATGTCGTTTGTGTGGTCTGTCGGTGGTAATCTCTCGGAAGAGTCACGTGAGGTTTTTAATCGTTTTGTGAAAAAACGGTTTGTGGAATTGTTGCCGGATAAAATGTCTATGGACGATCACCTCAGTGTCTACGATTACGTGGTGCACAAGCCATCCATGAGGTTTGTTACATGGCGCCATTTGGTACCAAGCTTCTTTTTTAGGTTTGATGTGCCTTACTTTGAACTAATCGTCCCCACAGTGGAGACTGTTAGTGTAACAACATTGCTTGGTGTTCTCGTGGCGAGCTCGCGGCATGTTCTAATAAATGGTGTAACGGGCACCGGAAAATCATTGTCCATGATGAATTTTGTAACAAGTGTATTGCATGGCGACGATCCATCAAGCCACTGGGATTACTTTGCGACCGTTCTGAGTGCACAGAGTCGTGCTCGTGACATTGAAGACCGGCTCGAAGGGAAGTTGCACAAGACACGGAGCAATGCGCTTGGTCCATCGCCTGGAAAAAGAGTCGTTTTTATGATTGATGATCTTAATATGCCGGCTCTTGAAAAATATGGAGCATCACCTCCGTTGGAGTTGTTACGTCAGCTTATCACACAAGGTGGGTTCTATGACAAACGCAAAGCCCCTGCCTCATTTAAGGAGATTCATGATATTGTTTACCTTGCCGCGTGTGGTGTGCCTGGTGGAGGTAGGAATGAGATGACAAAGCGATTGGTTTCAAGATTTCATTTGTTATGCCAGCCAGTATTTAGTGAATACTCAATTCGTCGCATCTTTGGTTGCATTTTACATGGCTTTTTTTCAGCATGGGAAGAACCAGATGTCAAAAACTTGTCAGGAGATTTGGTCAACGCCATTAATCAATGCTACAATCGTATCAGTCGGGAGAAACTTCCCACACCGAAGCGGTCACATTACACCTTCAACTTGCGTGATTTCAGCAAGGTTGTCCAGGGAATTATGCAGGTATCACCGCATAGTGCACCCACACGTGAGATTGTGCTTCGCGCCTTTGTTCATGAGGTCAGTCGCGTCTTTCATGATCGCCTTATCGATGAAAATGACCGTCAGTGGTGGTGGGGAGCGCTGGGCGAGGTGACGAGTAATGTGCTCCAAATGCCATGGGACCCAGAGTTCGAAAATGTTCTCTTTGGAGATTACATGCGGCGGGATCGCGCCATGTATGAGGAAATTGTCATTGGGGATTCCCTTCAAGAGACACTTGGAGAGTACCAGAAAAATTACGCGATTGATTGCAACAAAACAATAGAGTTGGTGTTTTTTAAGGATGCCATCCATCATATTACACGTATGT